TAAAATTGATGAAGAGTATCAAACCACAGATCCAAAAAACTCAGTGAATCCTCTTTATCCCTCTGCAGCAGGATAACTACAAAGAAGAAATTTAGGCACAGCTGACTTCTCGTTACAACAAGGGAAGCCAGGTAAAGGAACATTTTTAGTTAATGAAAGGAAAAAAACCTGCCAGTTTAGAATTCTTTATCCAGTGAAAATATTTCCCAAAAATGTAAAATAAGGACATTTTTAAGATTAAAAACAGAGAAATTCATCACCAACAGTCCTGCACTACAAGAAATGTTAGACTTCAGGCTGAGGGAAAATGATCTTAGATGGAAACATGGTTTTGAAAAAAGGAATGAAAAATACTGGAAATGGTAAATATAGAGGACTATTTTCCCCTTAATTTCTTTAAAAGTCTACTGACTGTTTAAGAAAAATAATAAAAATTATATAAAATATACATAAGTAAAACAGTTAACAATGGCATAAAGACCTCAAGGAAGGGAATCTTACTACTGTTCCCTGCGAGTGCAGTGGTTAAGAATCAGCCTGCTAATGCAGGGGACATGGGTTTGACCCCCGATGCGGGAAGATCCCACATGCCATGAGGAAACTAAGCCTGAGTATCACAACTACTTAGCCCGTTGCTCTAGAGCCCATGCTCTGCAACAAGAGAAGCCACTGCAATGAGAAGCCTGCACACGGCAACAAAGAGCAGCCCCTCACTGCAACTAGAGAAAGCCCACATGCAGCAACAAAGATCAAGCACAGTTTAAAAAAAAAAGTCTAAATAAATAAATGTTCAACTTGAAAAATTAGAAAAAGTATAGGAAATGAAATACTATAAAAGAAAATCTCCCAGTGTATTGCATATAACAAGAGCAAGTTTTATGTTGTGAAATTTTAGCTGTATGTGTGCATACACATGTTGTGGCTCTCAGTTTCCAAGTAAAATCTTTCTTTCTGTGGTCAAAATCTTTTTGAAAATATCGTTTAAAGGTTTAAGTGTTTCCATATAAGTCAACCCAGATTATTTAAATAATCTACTCACTTGTTTCCCTGGCTCTAACAGTCTCCTATTCTCCATTCTGCTATCTTGATTCTAAAATGCAAACCTGATCACATCACTAGCAAAATTAAAATGCTACAACTGCTTCCCTCTGCTTCCGGGGTAAAATTCAAAGACCTTAGAATAAACATACACCTTTCAGGACCATGTTCTTGACTCCCTCTCCGGTTTTATTTATCACTTCCTCGTAAATGCCCAGCTCTAAGAAATGACTTTCAGGCCCACCAGTTTTGCCATGCTCACTTTTATTCCCACGATCAAGAATGAGAATAAGAGCTTTCATTTAGCTAATTACGGCAACTTCAGAGTTTAGCTCCTTTTGGGAAAAATTTTCTCCATATCCCCACTCCCAAATTAGTTCAAGTACCTATTCAATCTGTTCTCCTAGCAGCCCACAGTTACCTTTGTCACAGTTTTTATTATACAGAATTGCAACTGTGTGTGCTCAATGAAGGGCTCCTTTGGTGGCTCAGTGGTAAAGAATCTGTCTGCAATGCAGGAGACACTGGGCCAGGAAGATCCCCTGGAGAAGGAAATGGCAATTCACTCCAGTATTCTTGCCTGGGAAATCCCATGGACAGAAGAGCCAGGCAGGCTGCAGTCCATGGGGTGGCAAAGAGTTGGGACACAATTTAGCAGAGTTGGAATGAATGTTAGCTGAAAAAACTTCTCCCAGCCATGTGCCATGGGCCTTCCAAAGCACACTAAATCATTTTCTATAATTTCATAAATAAGTGATGATGGCTGACTACTGCAAAATCATAAAATGGTCTTTTGAGTAAAAATGGTAATCTGACCACTCCCATTCAGTGTCTCTCCCTCCTGGAACACCTATAAAATGCAACACAAAAGTATAAACCACCAGCATATCTGAGAAAAAGGTTTCTATACATTTTTAGAAAACAGAACTAGCTGCAGAGTAAGAAGTGATGAGGCGTAAGAAGTGAGGGCATAGAAAAATGAGGTTAGGAATATGCAGAAAGGGTATTACACCTGGGAAAGATTCTGTCTTGCAGAATCACTGAGAAGTTTGATCCAAGAAATGATGAGTATGAAAAAGTGGAATGAATAGTGGGGTTGAAATTAGAAATTCAAAGTGTGAATACCAAACACTCAATACCAACTCCTCTGCAATCCTGATGTGGCAGACAAGGCACCATGCCCCAGGCAAAAAAATATGAGTGCTTCTCTAAAGAGTTACAATATCCTGGCAAAAAGATTCCAGCCTTCTGACACTTAGGACTCCTCCCACCCTAACAGCCAGCTCCTTACCTACGGACTTTACTAAACTTGGGATAAACTCAGATAATTCCTATCTATGTACAGAGAGCTTTCCTGATCAATTTTTTCATACCTCATTCTTAAAAATGAATAGACAAAGAGACAGTATCTGATTTTTAGGAAAGTCAGAATCATAAAAGAGAAAAATCAAGTTAACTAGAGGAAGGAAAAAGACTCTAGATTTTCCAGAAAGCAGAACAAAAAGCTCAAGGTTGATCAAACATGAAAAACATAGGACACCTAGAGAGGATCAATCCAGGAGGTCTGACATCTGATTAATCCATTTCCAAGAAAGAGAAAAAGGAAATAAAGAAATTAGCTCAGAATTAAAGAATAACAGTCTTCAGGCTGAAAAAGCCCTCCAACTAACCCATAATGAATGCAAAACAAAACCTCACCTATAAATACAACACTGCAAAATGTCAGAATATCACAAAAAATATCCCTAAATGCTTCCACAGAGAAAAGAGATTCACCTACAAAGATAGTGCAAAGATTTCATATCAACAACATTAATGACAATGGACTAATGCTTTTTAAGCTGTGAGGGAAAATGATTTTCAACCAGCCAACCTATCAGAGCAAATGTAAAAATAGAATAAAGACATTTTAAAATAAAGAGACCCAGAAAAGTCATCCTTCACAAACTCTTCTTTTGGGAAATTAATAGAGGATATGCTCTAGCAAAACAGGAGAGAAAACCAAGAAAAGACATGGAAATTGGCAAATAGAGGCCTTAGCTCAGAAAAGCAGTAAAGAACAGTCCTAGAATGAGATCTAGAGACCTAAAATAGAGCAGAATACAAGCTCTGATAGGAAGGTCTCTGGGGGGAAAACATGGATTTGGAATATCTGATGGGATACAGAATCTAGAGAGAGACACACACACACACAAAAAGCTAAAAGCAAACAATGCAAGAAAAACAGAAATTCTAGGAAAAAACGAAAACTCTCTACTATAACCAGAATTACTATAAGACCTTGTAGTGAACAATGTTCACACAATTATGATGAATGTTTTGCTTATTAATTTTCAGCCTTTAAAGCAAAGAAGACTTAATTATAATTATAGGATGGTATAAGTATTGTCAACCCAGAAAATGTAAAAGTGATGCTGAGAAACTGAAAGGACAGAAGAAAATAATGGGAAAGAATAGGAATGTTATTATAAAATAGTAAATTTAGTATTTCAAATTACAGGATAATCAACAGATTTTAAAGTTATAATATTGGGAGAAGAGGGTAGGGAGGTGACTATAAGCTAAATCTTCATTTGTCACATGAAAAAGTTAACAGATATTTCCTTTTTTCTTTTATTTCTGGTCACGCCCCACAGCAGGTGGGATCTTAGTTCCCCAAACCAGGGATCAAACCTATGTCCCCTGCAGTGGAAGAATGGCATCTTAACCACTGGACTGCTAAAGTCCCAACGAATATTTCTTATACAGTATAAATCAAGAAAGAATAATATGAGTACATTAATCAGAAATATAAAGGCAAATACCAGAAAAAACAGCTAAATGAGTTAAAAGAAACTACATCTAAGAAGTGCGATTCATTGGCTATAATTATATGCTGGGAATTCCCTGGGGGTCCAGTGGTCAGGACTCAAGAGTTTTCACTCCCAAGGGCGTGGGTTCAATACCTGGATGGGGAACTAAAATCCCCAAAGCTGCACAATGTGGCCAAAGAAATAGTAATTAAAGAACTATATACTTTAATAACATGTGCACATGCATGCTCAGTTGTGTCTGACTCCATGACCCCATGGACTGTATGTAGCCCACAGGCTCCACTGTCTATTTTCCAGGCATGAACACTAGAGTTGGTTGCCATTTCCTCCTCCAGGGGATCTTCCTGACCCAAGGATTAAACCCATGTCTCCTGCATTGGCAGGCAGATTCTTTACCACTAGTGCCACCTGGAAGGCCCCTCTATAACTGTATATAGTGATTAAAACTAAAAGAAAAAAAAAAGTACAAAACAGTTTCTTTCAGGAGCCGTTATAGACAAATGTTCAAAATCAATCCCTCTTCCAGTTGAGGTGGGGAAAAAGAGAGTCCTTAACTGAGTTGATGAAATTCAGTAACAACATTTCCATGTAGTTTTCTGGGTTAAAAAAAAAGTATACATACATACTTCTGAAAATATACATACATACTTCTGCCAATTTTATATCCTGTAACAGTAACTTGGCACATAGCCACTGAAAAACTGAGATACATATGGCTTTAGCAAAGCTTAATTTGGTCTTTAGCATCAGAAAGACCTAGGTCTTTTTTTTTTAAGATTTATTTATTTGGCTGTGTCAGGTCTTAGTTGCAGCATGTGGGAATCTTCAGCTGTGGTACAGAACTCTTATTTATAGCATGTGGGATCTAGTTCCCTGACTAGGGATCGAACCCAGATCCCCTGCATGGGGAGCATAGAGTCTCAACCACTGTACCACCAAGGAAGTCCTCAGAAAGACCTAGGTCTTAATTCAGATGCCCTCGCTTGCTAGCTATATACTACCTTGTACAAGGTTACTAACCTTCGAAAAGTAACTTGATCTGTGAACTAGAGATAATAATGCTTATCCTTATAGAGTTAAGTAACACCTATAAACAGTCACAGATATACAGACAGCAACTGATGTAAGACAGTATTAATCATTACTTACATTGGCCACCACTTTTACTTCTTTGTACTGTGCTTCATAGAAAATTCCAGCATTTTCCAATGCTTCTGTTAGCGAGGGCCCATTTTTCACTTGCTTATCCAGTCCATTCACGAATTCCTCTAGCTTGGCACTCGCCTCTTCAAATTCTTTGGAGAATTTCTTCCCACCTGTTTTATCTAAAATAACAAGAGGAAGTATTCTATAATATTCTTAGTCTCATAGTTACACCTTAAAGAAGCTTCCCTAAATCACAAAAAAAAAAATCACAAAACAGATTATTTAAACGTTTCATGTGATCCTGCTCGACTGAAGCAAGAGTGCATCATGAAGGCACTTGTAATTAAGATAAAGTCCAACTAAATGAAAGTTTGCTGATTGCTTTAATTCACAAATTTGATGTCACACTGCTACTCAGATGGAATGAGGCTCAATTCTATACACTTACAAACCATTAAGGTTTTTTTTTGTGTTTTTTTTTACATACCATTAACTTTTACACTATAGATTATAATAAGATGTTTCCCTTTGAGGAAAAAACAGAGGCTCAGAAAAGTAAAGATAAAGTGACCTCTACGTGTATCATGCTTAGAAATTCTTTCCTATCTGAAGATCCTTGGTAATTTGAGATTAGAAAAGTACCATGAATTGTTTTTCAACAACAGTGACATTACCAACTTTTATTTATTCTCCTAAGTACTTTCTGCCCAGTGATATTGGAATATGACCTTAGGTATGGATATAAATTTAGGCTCTGCATTTTATTAGCTGTGGAACTTGGGCAAGTTTCTTATCTCCTTATGAAGTCTCAGATTTCTTATGTACAAAGTAGAGGTTTTTAACATGCTTCTGGGTTGTTCTGAGGATTAAAGCAGATAATGTATGTTCAATTTAAAGCATGGTACATGAACAAAATAGGTGCCACAACAAACAGTTGGGTAGTTATTTACTTATTATTTTGAAAATATTTATCAAGTATTTATTACATACCAGGTATTGCTCTAGGCACTAGGATACTGGAAGAACAAATAAGGATAATTTCTACTTTCATGAGGTTCACATTCTAATAAATTAATATGATTATTATTTATAATCTACAATGTAAGGGAAAGAAAGCAAGTGATTAGACTTTATGAGGTATTACAGTGACCTTATTTATTTGGGCTGTGCTGTTTGGCTTGCAGGATCTTAGTTCCCTGACCAGTGGTTGAACCCAGGCCTACAGCAGTGAAAGCGCCATGTTCTAACCACTGAAATTGCCAGGTGGTTCCCTACAGTGACCTTACTGAAAAGTGAACACAAACCACATAATCATACACATGAAATACACCTGTCCATCATAGCCTGATACATCAGGAAAGGACTAGAAGTGGGGAAAAGGATAGAATATACTTATTAAAAAATTTTTTTAAAATTTATTTTTCTCCAACTTTATGGACATATAAGTGGCATGTAATATTGTTTAAGGTGTACAATTTGAAGGCTAGGAATTTATTTATGAAATTGACATGCATGAAATCACCACCTGGGGAACAGGTGCCACAACAGTTCTCTACAACCTGAGGTTCTCTTTATGGAAGCAGTCAGTCTGATTACTTGAAATAACACATCTGGAAAGAGAACCTGACTTACTCTATTTAGAAGGATGTAAGATTACCTTTTAAGCACTTGAGAGTTTCTGTGCTGCATACATCCACCCTCATGGTTGACAGCTGTTTTTCTTTCAATTCTATCTGGTCTTCTGAGCGCTTGTATAGCAACAGCTCTTCAATGAGGGCCTGAGACTGAACACGGACCAGGGTCATACTTCATTTACGAAATCATCCTCTTACTCTAGCTTTCTACAAAAGTAAAACAGGACTAAAACCTAACAAAACCATGAGAAGCAAAAACCTTCATATTTCCTCATAATCAGGGATATCAATATCAATTCTTGTATCAAAACCATATTTTCAGTTATATACTTTAAAAGATCTTTTTCATGTTATTAAAAGATAATTTATGGATATAAAGTTAAGATTGAAACAGGCAAAGATCCACTTATCTCTTCTTTCAATTTGAATGACTCTTATGTTAACTTTAAGCAAATTTTAATTGTTTCATAGGAAGATGAACACCTTCTTTGGGTTTAATACAGAATTCAGCTGGCATACAGATAAAACTCTTGAGTTTTAGAGAGTTTCAATATGTTTAAAATATAATGGATGCGTAATTCAATAAAAAGAAATCTTACAGGATGAACTATACAGAAAATTATAAAACAAAAGGGTTGGATAACACTTTGGCACATGGGACATATTCTGTAACTTACTCGAAATTCAGCAACTATCTTAGACTTGAGAGCGGCTTTTGGATTCGTGGATGCTGTTGAATTAAACAAAAGGTTATTTGAGAATACAGACACGAAATGTTGACTAATTATTTAGGAAAATTTCCAGCTTTATAGTTGAGGGTATACTCTTTGAATATATGTCAAACATGCACATTTAAATCATAGTATAACTCTCAGAACATATAGCGGATATGTAAATTGAAAACTCCCAAGTTTAAAAATATGTACTATTTAGATAGGTTTAACCTACTTACCTCCAACATACCCTGTAAGTCTGAAGTCCTAGAATTACTGACTTGGTGATACATGAAGTATCTTTCTGCCTATTCTGACTGAGTGTAAGAGGATCTTTGTGTGTGTGTGTGTGTGTGTGTGTGTGAGAGGATCTTAACACCTCAAATTAAGAGTGTCCAGGAGCAGGTCATCCAATTAATCCTGATCACTGGCTGAAGAAAATTTACTTCCAAGCATCAACTCTATTCCTATGTACTTAGTTTTGAATTTCTTTTTTCTGCTGAATCAATTCAAAGCAAAAACAGGCAGGAAAAGTTCTAAGTACAAATACTACTGTGGTTGAACTTTGGCTGAAATGATGACTCTTGCTGTTCCTAAGCATGCAACTTATGACCAAAAGGATGTGAAAGGACTCCCTTAATCATGATGAATATCCCATGCTTGCTGGAGCAAAACCATCCCAAGTGTCTTGTTTCACCTCCCAATTCTGTCTTTTACCTTGTTCCCTCCACACCTTCAAATCTTTCTCAATATTCCTGAGTTTGGCCCACAGCAGCCTATCACATGCAGTATTCCTCTCCCGTGACCTCATGCTGGGTAAACAGGATAAACACAGCAGGAGCTCCTGTTAGGAGAACGGCTTCTGGCCAGGATTTGAGGCCCACGTCTAATCTGGGAGAGTATCTCCCCAAATCTGAAGGATTTCATGGCTCCCACAGAAATGCTTCTTAATGCCTAGTCTCCTCTTCAGCTCTGTTGTTTAATGCCAGCTGCCTCTAACTTCATATAGCTTTGAACCTTAAAGTTACCCTGGGCACTATCACGTATTATTTTCTTCTTCCAATCCCCCAACTACTCTTGAATCTTCACACATTTAAACCCTTTTTCTGCATTTCCTTTGTTTAAAAGTAGTTTTATTTTTTTTTTTTTTAAAGAAGTAACTCCATGATGGCTTGGTTAGTGTAAGTCACTGGGAGCCTCCCAGGCCTGGAAAACACAGGCTTGCCCATGGTTTATGCCAGGTACGCAGTCAAATGGTCTACATTTTCTTCTGCTCCAAAAAGAGGAGGTAATTTATATTAGTTGAGATTTTTTTCCTTACTTTGTGATTTCTTCCACTGCTTATTCGGTTGTTTGTTCAGATTTTCTTTCAGCTGCTTCTGAGTTTTGAAAGTGGTACCTGGAAAACATTTCAGTTTTGCAATCTGGCGTTATGGGAAGCTGTTCTGTCTGTCCACTTCAGTGTCAAAGTTGAAAAAAGGCAATCCGAGACTGTGTGTTGTTTCTTTCTTTCCTTTTCTTTTATGTTTATAAAAAGATAAAAACACCCACCAGATCTAAGAAGCTGTCAAATAAACATGATTTCTGTATCAAAGAAATAACTAATTTGGAAAAAAATAGGGTAGAAAGTTTAAAAATACTAGGTAACTCATTCAAATGAAGAATTTAACAGCTTCTTAGAAGATGCTATTTTTAAAGCAAATTTCTACTCAAATTACAGTCATGGTATCTTCAACTTCTATTCACTGACTTTATTACATGGATCTAATACATAGAAACTAAATAATTTTAAAAACACCTGTACAAAACTTACTGCAAATCTAAACCAACGGAGGCTGAAGAATACAAATATATGCTTAATGTATCAAACAATTTAGTGAAAACTGAAACCTTGTCTAAAAATTCTCCCAAAAGTAATAGGACAGGGCAGTAACTATTAAACACAAAAGATGAATAGTTTAAAGCACTCATAGTAAAACAAATGCAGAAAAATAATTAATGATCATCACTTAATATGCTTGCCTTTTTTTAGTCAAAAAACACACACACACACGAATTCAACCCTCTCCAAACCATTCTACTTAAATTTTAATGCAAACATATTTGTACAGTTATTTAATTTTAAACAAATAGGGCCAGATCCCAAACTTTGTCTTTCATTAATAAGCAAAAGGACTAGATCTATAAAATAATTTTAAAGACTGAATAATGACTCAATCTTTCTTTTCGGAGAGAAAGGACACTTACTCAAAGCTTCTCTTAATGCCATAATCATTTCTTCTGGGTATACATTTCTATCTTCCCAGATTTTAAAGATTCGTTCTACAGATTTAGAGACAGATGGATCCCTGAGAAGAAAGAAAAAGTGACACATAAAAATGTTAAACTTGCGTCTCAAACTAGAATTCTGAAAATAAAGTTGTCAACAAAATTATTTTCCAGTGACTTACCTCATGGTCCAGTGGTTAAGAATCCACCTGCCAATGCAGGGGAAAGTGAAAGTCGCTTAGTCGTTTCAGACTCTTTCTGACCTCATGGACTATACAGTCCATTGAATTCTCTAGGCCAGAATACTGGAGTTGGTAGCCTTTCCCTTTTCCAGGGGATCTTCCCAACCCAGAGATCGAACCCAGGTATCCCACACTGCAGGCAGATTCTTCACCAGCTGAGCCACCATGGAAGCCCAATGCAGGGGAACAGGGTTCCATCCCTGGTCTGGGAACTAAGATTCCACATGCTGTGGGGCATCTAAGCTCACATGCCCTAGAGCCCTGCTCCACAAGAGAAGTCACTGCAAGGAGCAGGCCGCACATCACTTGCAGAGTAGCTCTCACCCACCGCAACTAGAGAACGATATAGTACACAGCAATGAGGACCCTGTGCGCCACAACGGACACCCAGCACAGGCAAAGATAAATAAATATCTCTTCATGTTTATTTTAAAACATTTTTTCCTGGTGTCTAGGGTTAAAATCTTAAAAAAGCCTTGTTCAACACTTTTTATTGGTAACATAAATGAGGTTATGGATGACATATTGAACTTTAATACTGGTTTATAAGTTTCATGAGTACCTTATATTTCTACTTCTGTATACATTCATGAGCATACTCATAATCAAAGTTTAAGTTTCCATCCATCACCATACAGCTGACTCCCTTTATCCATTTCACACTTTACCACCCTCCCACACTGGTAACCACTACTTGGTCCTCTGTATCTGTGTATGTATGTTTGGTTATTTATTATAATTTTTAATTTTTAAAACACAGTCTAAATATGAGTGAAAACATAAGGTACCTCTTTCTTTACCTGACTTATTTCACTTAGCATAATATCCTCAAGGTCCATTTGTTATCACAAATGGCAAGATTTCATCTTTTTTCAAATGAGTGGTACTCCGTTGTGTGTGTGTGTGTGTGTGTGTGTGTGTATACACATACATATATATACGCATATATATATCTCGGTTTACACTCCACCAGCAGTATATGAGGATTCCATTTTTTCAAATCCTCTCAAACACTTGTTATTTCATGCCTTTTTGAAAACATTCATTCTAACGGATATGAGGTGATATCTCACTGTGTTTTTTCATTTCCCTAAAATTGGTAATGTTCAACATCATCTGCCTATTGTTCATTTGTATGTCTTCCCTGGAAAAAATGTCCATTCAGCTCCTCTGCTCATTTTTTAAAGCAAGTTATTGGTTTTTCTGTTGTTGAGTTGTATGGGTTGTTTATATTTTGGGTATTAACCCCTTATCAGATATTTGATTTGCAGATCTCTTCTCCCATTCAGTAGGCTATGTTTCTGTTTTATTGATGGTTTTCCTTATTGCACAGAAACTTTTTAGTTTGATGTAGTCCCATTTGTTTATTTTTCCTTTTGTATTGCTTGCCTGAGGAGACATATCCAGAAAAATAATGTTAAGACCAATGTCAGCGTGTACAGCCAATGTTTTCTTCTAGGAGTTTTATGGTTTCAGATTTACAATAAATCTTTAATTCATTTTGAGTTAGTTTTTGTGTCCAGTATGAGTCCAGCGGCCTAGTTTAGCTTTTTTTTATGTTGCTCTTGTTTCTTACCCCACCATTTACTGAAGATACTAGCTTTGCCCCATTGTATATTCTTTGCTTCTCTGCTGTAAATTAGTTGTACATAAATGCATAGATTTCTGGGCTTTCAATCGTTTCACTGATCAATGTATCTGTTTTTCTATCAATACCATCCTGTTTTTTGTTACTGTGGCTTTGTAGTATCATTTGATATCAGGTTATGTGATGCCTATACTTTCGTGTTCTTTTTTCTCAGTATTGCTTTGGTTATTCAGGTTCTTTTGTGGTTTCATATAAATTTTAGAATTTCTTTTCTGTTTTGGTGGAAAACATCCTTTGGATTTTGATAGGGATTGCACTGAACCTATAGATTGCTTTAGGTAATATGAACACTCGACAATGTTAATTCTTTCAATCCATGAGTTTGAAATATCTTTCCATTTATTTGTGTCTTCTTCAATTGTTTTCAACAATGTCTTATAGTTTTCAGGGTACAGGTCTTTTACCTCCTTGATTAAATTTATCCTAGGTATTTCATTCTTTTTTGTTGCAATTCTAAATGGGATTGCTTATTCTCTTAATTTGCTTTTCTGCCATCTCACTGTTAATACAGAAATGAAATTGATTTTTGTATATTGATTCCGTATACTGAAACTTAACTGTATTTGCTTATTGTTTTGAATAGGCTTTTGGTGGAGTTTTTAGAATTTTCTCTATATAAAATTATGGCTTCTCCATTTTTTTATTGTTTTTTTTTAAATTGAGCTGAATGAGCTATTCATATATTTTGGAAAATAAACCCTTGTCAGTCACATTACTTGCAAATACTTTCTCCCAGTCCATAGGTTGTCTTTTCATTCTGTTTATGGTTTCCTTTGCTGTGCAAAAGCTTCTGAGTCTAATTATGTCCTGTTTGTTTGGTTTTGCTTTTATTTTCTTTTGCCTTGGGATATTGACTAAAGAAAACATTTATGTCAGAGAATGTCTTGTCTATGTTTTCTTAAAGTTTTATGGTGTCAAGTCTTCCTCTTTAAGCCATTTTAAAGTCTTTTTTCTGGGGAGGGCTATGCAGGGTGAGTAGTTGTGGCACATGGGCTTGTTGCCCTGTGGCATGTGCAATCTTCTTGGACCAGAGATCAAACCTGTGTCACCTGCATCGGCAGATAGATTCTTGACCACTGGACCACCAGGGAAGTCCATTAATCATTTTTTAAATTTATAACTCAGTGGCATCAGTTATATCCACAATGTTGTACAATCACCACCCCATTTCCAAAAATTTTCATTGCCCTAAACAAACTCTGTACTCATTAAACAATTAACTCCCTATTACTCCTTCCCTTCAACTCCTGACAACTACTTTCTGTCTCTATGGATTTACCTAATCAATACATTTTATAAAAATGGAATTATACAATTTATTCTTTTGTGCCTAGCTTATGTCAGCATGTTTTCAACATTCATTCATGCATACTATGTATCAGATATGATACTATGTATCAATTATTTTTCTTAAAAATTGTGGTAAAACAGACATAAAATTTACCATCTTAACCACTTTAAGAGTATAGCTCAGTAGTAATATATACATTTATACTGCCATGCAATCAACCTCTAGAACTCTTCAACCTGAAAAACTGAAATTCTATGTCCATTAAATAAGATCTCCCTATTTTCACTACAAACCACAACTCTACCTTCTGTTTTTATGAATTTGACCACTGCAGTTATTTCATATAAGCAGAATCATACAATAGTTGTGCTTTTTTGATTGGTTTCACTCAACATAATGTCTTGTAAGAGTCACCTATTTTGTAACATGTGTTACAATTGTTTCCTTTTTACGGTTAAATGATACTCTTTTATATATATACCATATTTTATCTGTTAATCTAAAAATCAGGCTGGTTCCTTCTTTTGGTTATTGTAAATAGTGCTATTAGGAACATGGGGGTACAAATATCCATTTGATTTCCTGCTTTCATTTCTTTTTTTTGTGTATAATCAGGAATATATTTGCTGGATCATATAGTAATTCTATGTTTAACTTTTTGAAGAATCATCAAACTGTTTTTCCATAGCAGCTGCACCATTTATACATTCCTACAGAAGTGTAGTTGTTTTTCCCATCCTCTCTACCACTTGTTATTCTCTAGTTTTGTTTTTAAGTTACGGTCATTGTAGTAGGTGTGAACTCTTTGGCTGCTTTTAAAATCTTTTTTGGTAATTTCATTACAGTGGATGACTAGGTGTAACTTTTTAAAAACTTATCCTGCTTAGTATATTGCTTCCTATCATTTGCAGATTCATGTTTTACTTAGTTGTTTCTGTTTTTTTTTTTAATCACTTTCAGAGCATTCTCAGCCATTACCTCTCTGAAAGAACTCAGAAGCACTCTCCTTCTGGATTCTGATTTGATTTTAATTAGGCCTCTCATTCTAAACTCCATTTTACCACTTCCTTCTTTCTCTGCTGCATTCTAATTTCTTCAGAACTATTTTTTAGCTTAATCCTTTCTAGTAATTCCTACCGGGTCTTTTGTCCAAGTATTTTATCCATTGTTCATTTCATTCCATTTAATCTTCTTTTAACATCTTTTATGATTGTCTTAAATGCCCTGTCTGATAATTCAAGTATCTGAAGCTCTGTGAAGGACTCTAAATCTGCTGATTCTCCTTGCAGTGCTTTGTTTCCCAATGTACTTGGCAACCTTTGACTGTCAGCACCTATTTTTTTGTTTGATCTATGAGATTCTTGGTGAACTAAGTAGGAAATGTGTTCCCTTAAGTGCAAACCTAAGAAAAAAAAAAAAAGAGCAAACCTATACTGGTAGCCAGGGATATTTATGACTCAAGACCTCTTTATTTGCTCTCCACAGCCCAGGTCACGTGGTATTAGCAAGATAGGCATACTAATTAATGTCAGCTCTGCCATTCAGCAACCACTGTTGCTGGTTCAGCTTATGTTTTGTCAAGAATGTTACTGCTTTATAAAAAAGGACCCTTTAGAATAGATGGCTGGCCATTCAGCCAGAAGTCATCATAATTATCTGTAAATGTCTGCTTGCAGAGGTTGTAACATTTATTGTTGCTTCTTCAACACCTACAAAGTGTTCACTGAATAGTAAATGAATGAATGACAATTAGACTTTGTCATTTTCAAACCCAACTATTCATTATGAAGTCCCAACAGCTATTCACCAAAATCCTCAAATAAAATATGCTGGAGAAATAGCAATTGCTAGAAAATCATATAAATAAGACTAGGGTAAAATATAGTAAGCAAGCATGAG